TGGACTTCAACTCCCAGAATTCCCCAGCCAGCATGTTGAAGTCCACTCATCTTAAAGTGGCAAGTTTGGACAACACTGCTATAGAACAAAACAGTGCCATTTTCCAGGATGCTTCTCCAAAGTTGCAAGAAATATATTTAATCTTGAATGGCGTTATTATGGCTTGTTATGAATACTCCACTCATTAGATTGAGTCCCATTGTTAGGAAAATTATTTCGTTTGGATGTTTGCAGCGCTGATGTTGCAGATGTGCATTTAATGTAACAAAACTCTTGTGAAAGACAGGTTAGCATAGTCAAGCATTTTGGCTAATGTGCTCAAGGTGCCTGAACATTATGCTTTCATTATGGTTATTTTTAAAGATATCAGTTGAACTGAATGTGTAAGACAGCTTTCTCCATTAGGAAGTTACACACTTCTTCTGCACACCTGGAGGGCACTAGAATAAGTAACAATAACTTAAGGGCTTGAACCTGACAAAGCTTTAATTTGACAGTTCCTTTTCAGGATCTTGAAATGAATTGCTGAGTTTCTTCAGTATGAAACAGTTTTAAAGGAAGCACTAGAGGACATGGAAACGGAAAGGTGAATTGTTTCAAAAAGACTGGCATGAGTAATGTAGAACAATGTTGGATCATTTTTACTTTTGTCTGTTATTGCCGGAAGAAACAGAATGCAAGTATAAACCAAAACAATTCCTGAATAGTAAAAGAATAGTAGTTTCTGAAGCACCTGCACTTCCTTTGGGGAACCAAAATAGGGAACTCATGGGGTCAGTAGAGATCAACCCCCAAAGTGGGTCCTTTGAAAGTCCTACTTTGTGGTGGGCCTGTCCAAAAGGTCTGCCTTGAATTAGGTCTATTTGAAGAGAGGGAACCTCATATTTGGAAATCATCTTTTCTAAGCATCTTCTGATTGTTTCTCAACAGATGAATAATAGCAAATTAAAGATCTTTAAAAGAATTTTAAATCTTCAGTTATTGTTAGAAATTGTTTATAAATATTTAAATAAGGATTATGACAATCTCTAACCATCTTAATTCTGTGCTATTCAGATAAATGGGTACATGTAGCCAAAAATGTAACTCTATGATGAAAGAAAAATGACAGTGGAATACTTAATAACAGCTAATGGTATCTAATCATCTTTGCATAATAACTTGTCTGAATCTCAGTGCTATTATCTGTCTGCAATTCTGATCTGCAAGCACTGAGACATGTTTCATTACCAATATTTTCTTAGGAATAAGTTGTTCTTTTGATTTTATAATAAATTGTTACCATATGTTATCTTTCAGCATAGTCATCAGCCTCACCTTGCTGGTAGCATTTTAACTATGGAATTGTAGACAAGAAGGATATACTGATTTTTATTTTCTTCACTGCACATCTCTGATATTTATAACACGTAATTGATGCATTTGTATGCCATATAAAAACAGTGGCAAAGAAACACTAGCAAAATATAGTTTACTCAGAAATAAGTCCTTTTGGGTTCATTGAAGCTTACTCTTGGGTAAGTGGGAATAAGTGTTCATCCTAAGTGAATAAGACCAGAAGCTGAACTGATATTTGATTGGTCATTGAATCAACTGACCGTGATGTTGTGCAGTTAAAATAATTAGACAATGGATAAACAGTAGAGTATCTATCTAAGCTACTTCCTGTACATTTATAAGACTGTGTGCCATCAAACCGAGTGGATCTTACCTTTGAGTATAAAGGCATGGAATTAGCTCCTGTTCTGGACTGTAGTCACTTGGTATTCTTAGCTATGAATTCTCTCAGTTACACATTTTATTTATATCATAGGGATAATAATGATATCTTAAGTAAAAGAAGAAACATTTATACGATCTGAAGAGAAACCAGAGTATATTTGTGTAAAAACTTTGCTTTTACTATTAACAAAAACTACCGGGACCTCACACCTGAAAAACTCTTAGAAAATGAGGAAGTCAAGATCTTGTGGGATTGTAAAATAAAGACTAATAGATATCCAAAATAGAACACACAAATGATGCTGATGATGCTGATTTACAATTACGGAAAGAAAAAGTGTGGTTAATAGATATACAAATACCAAGACAAAGTTAAATTGATGAAAAACAAATGAAAAATCATAACAAAATATTGTGATTTACAAACTGAAGTTGAAAGACTTTGGAAGAAAAAGTTAACTATAACAGTAACAGTAGTTGGAGCTCTTGGACCCATACCAAAGGGACTCATCACATATTTGGATATTTTAAATTTATTGTACTTGCCACCACTGACTTTGCAAAAACTCATCTTTTTGCAAGAAACTTCCAGTGTACCACAATGATACTTCCTAGACTCTTGGTTGGAACCCAAGTCATCAAAAAATATCCACTGTCTGGTATTTGTTGGATGAAGAGACAATAATAAATAAATAATAAATAAATAAATAATAATTTCTTACAGTGGAATCTTTGAAAATGTATTTAGATGACAACCCTATATAAATATGCAAAAGTTACAGTAAGATTTTAAGAAGTTAAATTCCTAAATACTAATAATACATAAAATTAAAACTATGTAGTTTACATGTATAGATAAGACTACGTAATCAAAGGCTTGCACTGCCTTAATTTCCTTAGAATGTCTTAGATGTTTAAAGTTGAACTCATTAGTGAAAGAATTAAATCATATTTTATTTCTGTTACTCCTAATCCTCCTCCCAAAAGCTGTAGTTATGTGTTTGGGTTTTTTTACTCAGAAATTGCACAGACTAATTCTTCTTATATTAATATTGATATATGATGCATTTCTGACCATGATTGCCCAAAACTGACAATATTGTTTCCCTCCATTCTGAGGTGGAAAGAGATAAAACTGTAAGCCCTCACCCTAAAATAGGCACATCTGTTAAAAAGTGAAATATCCCACAAAAAAATCTACCCAGTTTGTGATGTTCAGCCTGCTCCCATATATTAAGCCCTTGTCCACCAAAACGTTGCCCACCTCTGTCCAGAGATTTCAGTTGCTTCAATCTGTTCCTTAATTTGGAGGAAGAAAAAGTCTTGATTTTGCAGCAGTTGGAATTTGAGACTTGAGTTTTAGACTCCTGAATTTGCAGAGCTTGTGTTATGACTGGTGCTTTGGACTTGTTTTTTGAAAGGAGTTTTCTAGGGGAGTATGTCAGAGACAGGTGTTTAATTATACTAATTTAGAAAACTATAGCATAAGTCTGTGACAGTGTTTTATAATAAGTTAGTTGCAGGCATAATTTACCCTGTCCTTCAAACATGTTCATAAAGCAGTTTAGTGCTAATAGTTAAGGATGAATGGATCAGTCCAGTACATATCAGTATTTCAGAATTCTACATCACTTATTTAATTACTGCTTTCTATAATTGTTGCCATTTAAAAACATGTTGGAAAAATCTGCATTCTTTATCATTTATAACTTGTTAAAATATACATAGCTTCATTATGCTTATCCTTAATGCATGCCTTTAAAAATGCATATGTACCTGAGGTATGGCTTTTCTGGGGATGAACAAGGAATGATGCTATCAGACTTTCTGAGATAATGGAGTCCATTTTGGTAGACTGTATTATTTTGTTTTTATATCCATACAAGGAAGCCAGTTTGGTGTAGTGGTTAAGCCACTAGGATAAAAATCGGGAGACTGTGAGTTCTACTCCCACCTTAGGCACGAAGCCAGCTGGGTGACCTTGGACCAGTCACTCTTTCTCAGCCCTAGGAAGAAGGCAGTGGCAAAACACTTCTGAAAAAATTTGCCAAGAAAATTGCAGGGACTAGTACAGGCAGTCTTTGAGAATTGGACACAACTGAACAGATTTAAAAAAAAAAAAAACTCAAAAGAGATTTCAGAGTAGCTTTTGTTTTATTATCACTATGATTGCAGATTATGTGTTTGTCAAAATACATCTGCCACATGTCTAAGAGACCCATAGCAACACTGACTTGAAGGCAGAAAAATAAATACATAATAAAAATAAAATTATTCTGTAGTAGTAAAATTTGCTAGTTCTTACTAGCTAGTTTGCCTCTCAATGCATAAAATGAAGTCATTCACAATTTCAGTAGTTTGGAATACAGTAGCTATGTACTGTAATAATTACCAAGGTTCTGCAAATTTTTCAAAAAGTGCATTTCAATGTGTGGGACTACTCTCTGTTCAATTTAAGCAGCCACATGTTTTTCAAGGTTTACATGCTGCTTCCAAAGCTACTTCAATGTGACTCTCCATGCATGTGTAGAAATTTAATCAGAAAGCCCTGTTCACAGATGTGTGTCTGTGTTTGAAATTGATAGATAGATAGATAGATAGATAGATAGATAGATAGATAGATAGATAGATAGATAGATAATCTTTCATACGCCACATTTGTATACATAAATACATACAGTATATACATTCACACACATACATCCATGCTCAAATGTTGATCTGTACAAGACACATACAAAGAAACAATACATGTCACTTTATTAAAACTGTACTAATTAACTGTGTAGCAGAACTTATTATATGCTACCTAAATGTTTATGCTATATCTAGGATAATACTTGTGTTCTGTGGTTGCAAATTCAGATGAAAAAAAGAGCAAATTGGGACAAATGCTCCAGTCAGAGTTCCCATACAAAGGGTGATTAAACCTGTCTGAGTTTCAAAGGGGTGCTTACTGTATATATAAAGCCAAATTTTAGCATAATAGCTGTTTTTTCTTGCATAAATATGTGTCCTTTATTTCTTGCCCTCACCCTTCCCAGTCTTGTTACTTAATCTTATTTGGTTGTTTGCCATATATATGCTTTGCTTTAAGTGTAATTTACACAATCAGGAACATGCTTTAAAAATAAGCTTTGAGATTTCATAGTAAAATAGTATGGATTTTATTTTTATTTTATTTTTTTGCTCTAGGCAACATTTTTCTGTGACTGTGACCATGAATACCTGGGTGGTTTCTGTGAAGAATTTAATGCCTGTCAAAGCAGCCCTTGTCAGAATAATGGAACCTGCATGGATATGGCAGAAAAACATATTGGAAACAATTTCTCCTGTACTTGTCTTCCTGGTATGTGTTGAATCACTTATCATTTGTATAGTGTCTCCACTTTACTTAGGAGAGGGGAACATCTCTTGATGCTGAAGGGGACAAGAAGGCTAACAGAAGAACAAGGTCTGAGTTTACATGAGGATCACTGCTACAAAAAGAAGATAGTATATGTGTATGTGTATGCATACATATACATACACAAATACAGAAAATCCTGTCAAAGCCCAACTTCCCCACCTTCTCAACCTAGGGTGCCAACTCCAGCTAAAACCAATCTCAGAGATTGATTTACCTTGTACATATGCACATGACGTACTTGAATATGGGTTAAATATACAGTATATGCGAGGGACCGGTTGGGATGGAACAAACTCAGACTGAATCCCAGCATGTCAGTGTTGCTGTTTATTCAGAGGCTCTCTGGCACCAAGGGAGGCACTCCCACTGAAGTGTGCAGCTGGTGGGTTCTCTTGGAGTCGCTGTTGCTGCTAGAGCAGCAGATGTCTGGTGCATGCTATAAGTCAGTGTTGTCCAAACTTGGCCACTTTAAGATGAGTGGACTTCAACTCCCAGAATTCTGGGAGTTG